AAAAGTGAATGTTGAAAACTAAAAAGAAAAATGTTCACAACACAAAAAGAAGGAAAAGGGACAAGTAGAAAAGCTTTGAAAGTCTAATGATGAATCTATTAAAAGGGAAAGCAAGCTGTATGTAATAGAGAGTCACAGTTTCATCCATAATCCGATTTTTATATTTTACTTTGTATATGGAAATGCTTTATTTGGTGTTCGTTCAGAAAGAAAAGAAAAGCTTAAAAAAAACCCAAGTTCTCACAAAGTAGAGAGAATATCCTTCTTTCCTACTGAATAACTTCTGTCACATACAAAAATGAGAAGCTTATTGCAAACCCAGATGAAGGAAAGATGAATTTCCCACATCAGAATCACCAAGATTTTCTCTGCCAGATTCTGTCTCTATGAATCATCTCCTAAGCCCGAGGATCTTCACAGAAATGAAAAGAAAAGCAGAGGTATCAGGTTACTGTGCTATTAAGAGAAGTGGAATAGGAAACACCAGACTTAATTTAATAAGCATTTCCCAATTAGCCCTGTGATAGACACTGCTCCAGAGTCTCCACTGGCAGGCTTCCAGAGAAACAACACCTGGTCCCCACCCTAAAGAAGCTGGAGGGATCAAGGAAGTTTTCCTCCTGGATACTGTATTATAAGTCACATTAAAAGGCTGTTTAGATGGAGATAATAGATAAATGGGCAAATGATACGAATACGCAATTTTCAGAGAAAGAATTCTAGGCCATCTCTAGCCATGTGAAAAAATGTTCTAAATCACTAATAATTAGAGAAATACATGTTAAAACAACTCTGGGATACCACTTCACACTCAATCAGATTGGCTAAGATGACAAACACCTAAAATAACAAATGCTGGAGGGGATGTGGGAAAATAACTATGCTAATGCACAGTTGGTAGGGGTGTGAACTGGTCCAATCATTCTGGAAAGCAATTTGGAATTATGCCCCAAAAGCTATTAAACTGTGCATACCCTTTGACCCAGCAATACTGCTACTACACCTCTACCCCAAAGAGATAAAAAAAAAAAAGAATATTTAGCACCTCTTTTTGTGACAATGAAGAGTTGGAAACAGAAGGGATGCCCCTCAGTTGAGACAATAATTCAACAAATTATGGCATAGGAATGTGATGGAATATTATTATGCTGTAAGATATGATGAATGGTATAGTTTCAGAAAACCTGGGAAGACGTGTATGAACTGATGCAGAGTATGGTGGGCAGAACCAAAAGAACAATTTATATAATTTACATGGAGAAATATGTCATGGTCAGAAGCTAACCTAGAAGAGATGTATGTCACAGGCACACTAATATACTAGGCAGCTAGGTGGATAGAGTACTGGCCAAGCTTGAAGTGAGGAAGACATTCAAATCATGCTTTAGACATTTAATATCTTGTGACCTTGGGCAAGTCACGTGATTTTAATATCTTCCTCTGTAAAATGAGGGATTGGACCTCTAAGGTCCCTTCCAGTTCTATGATCCTGGTGCAACTGGTCTGAACCTTCTGGAAAACAATTTAGAATTATGTGAGAAAAGCGATTTAAATCAGCAATATCCTTTCACCCCACGGTCCCACTACTGGGCATATACCTCAAAGAGAATAATGGAAAAAAAATACCATATATATATATATATACATATATATGTCAAAACATTCATAATAGCATTTTTTATGTCAGTAAAGCAAAATAAATACCTGGAAACAAAGTGGGTAATTGTTGATTGATTGGGGAATGGCTGAATAATTGTGAAATATGAATATCATGAAACATGATTATGCCACGAAAAAATAAAGCCCATGAAGAATTCAGGGAAACTTAGACTAATTTGAACTGATGCAGTGTGAAATAAGAAGAAGCAGGGGAACATAAATGACCACGATAATATAAAGAGGGGGAAGAATAGTAAAGGACAGCAGTGCTGGAGACTGATACAGTGGCTGGTCTTGAGTCCAGAGGATGAGTAACAGGACAAGTTACATCCCACCGCGGGGTAGATGGGGCAGTGGACTACAAGTGTGGGATGAGGAAGATGCTGTCATACATAATGAGCCCATAGGTTTGCTTCGTTTGCCTGTACTTGGTTGTAATGATGGATTCTAGAGTGGGGGAAAGAGTGTTGAGGATGTAACAGTGATTTTTTTTTAAAGCAAGCATCAATAAAATACTTTTAAATGAAGAGATACTGGTGTCCAGGTATTCTGTGCTAAGGGTCAGGTGAAGGGGTGAAGAAACTCTCAAGCGTTTGTCTCAGGGGGAGCTGGAGGTATCAAATCAGGTTTCCTCCTGGGTACTGTATTTATAAGTCACACACTAATCAGCAGATGCAGATTCTGAAATGGAAAGCTAAACAATCTGCTGCCAGCTCATGCCAAAAAAACGAGAACATGGGTGCCCTGGTGAAAAGGAGGTGCCAGAGGACTGGGTCCCACCAGCTTGAAGGGCCCCACATCAGAGTTCGCCCTCCCCCAGAAAGCTAAGATCCGGTGGTGAAGGGTATGACTGCTGGGTGTTTTGGAAGACAATAGGTTTTCTTGAAATGAGGGTTCCTTGCATTTTAAACACCCAGAGCACCCCAGCAAGCCTGTCTGCTGTTACTCTGGCACAAAGGGAAGGCTGAGAGGCCAAGCAGCTAAACAAGGCTCGAGCTGCCCAGGCTTGCGCCCAAGCCTTCTGGGAAGCTCCCCTGCGCGGGTGGTGTTTGGGGTGTGGCAGGCCGTAGGTGCAAGCCCAGGAGTATGTGTGTCGACACTACACTTGTGTTGTTCGCTTGTGTCAGGCTCTTGGTGATCCCGTAGACAGTAGCACCACCAATGCTGTCCGTGGGGTTTTCTTGGCAAAGATACTGGAGTGGTTTGCCTTTTCCTTCTCCAGTGGGTCACTCTTTGTTAAATAAATGCTTGGTGATAGATTGACAGACAGGAGCCTGAGGGGATCTGGGCATAGTCAAGTAGAGTGCTTTCCAGGGCTGACCAGAGATGTATGCAAGGGATGGGTGGATATAGACTTGTGGCAGGATTCAGCGCTGGGCTGGGACGTGGGGGTGGGGGTGAAGTAATAGACCAGACCACATCAGGGCTTTGCGTCAGAGGGCAGAAATGTGAAGTGTGCTGACTGCCAGGGAGGGCTCTTGTTGGTGGTGGTGGTACTGGTGCTGGTGCTGGTGGTGAGGATGGCTAGCACTTACACAGCCCTTTGAGATTTGCAAAGTGATTAATGTGTAAATTTTGTTTCATCCTCAAAACAACTGAGAGGTAGGTGCTATTATTATTCCTGTTTTACAAATGAGGAAGCTCAGACTGAGAGATGTTAAGTGACTTACCCAGGGTCACACAGCCAGTAAGTGTGTGTGTGTGTGTGTGTGTGTGGATTCAAATTCCTGACTCTTAAGTCCAAAACTGTTCACACAAACTAGCTGCCCTGGTGGGCAGGAAGCCATGTAGTGGGGAGGAGCCATGGAATGTGGAATTCAGAGTAGGCTGCTGAGGGCACACACCCAGAGACAGTCAACTAGCATCTATTAAGCACCTATTAAGTGCTGGGCACTATATTAATTGTTGGGGATAAAAAAAAAAAAGAAAACCAGTTCATAAGCTCAAGGACCTCAAGTCTGCCAGGTGAACAACATGCAAACAATTATGTAAAAACAAGATATACAGGGTGTCCCAAAATTCTTAGTGCAGCTATAAAGCTTTAAGCTGCACTAAGAATTTTGGGACACCACACCAGTTAAATTGAAACAAATAAATTGAGGGATAGATTGGGGGGGGCGGGTCTCAGAGGGAAGGCACTATACTGTGCTGGGATTGGTGAAAGACTTCTTGCAGAAGGTAAGATTTTATCCTAGACTTGAATGGAGACCTGGAAGCCAGGAGACAGAGATAAAGAAGTATTGCAGGCATGGGGGACAGCCCTTAGCACACTGCCTAGCACACATAGTGAGCCATTAATAAAATTCGTATTGGTAACTAAGTGGCGAAGTGAATGGAGTGCCTGGCCTGGAATTAGGAAGACCTGAGTTCAAATTTGACCTCAGACACTTACTAGCTGTTTGACCCTGGGTAAGTTGCTCAACCTCTGGCTGCCTCAGTTTCCTCATCTGTAAAATGAGAATAATAACAGCGTCTGCCTCCCAGCGTTGTTGTATCAAAAGATGTAATTGTAAAGTGCTTAGCACAGTGCCTGGCACATGGTAAGCACTGCATAAATATTAGCTACTATAATAAATGTTATTATTATTGACCAAACTGAAAACTCACTGAAAAAAACCTCCCAGAGTTGGGAGATGGAGTGTGTTATTTTTGTGTAACAATTCAGCTCTATAAACACTGTTTGGAAACAACGTGCAAAGCAAGCCCTGGGACACAAAGGCAGGCTAAAGACAGATCAATCAGTCCATATTTATTAAGCGCCCACTAGGGGCCAGGCACGTGGTGTAATCAGGGGGCAAAAAGCCAGTGCCTGCCCTCAGGGAGCTTACAATCCAATGACCAGCCCCAGGCGGTGTCACTGGACTGCTGGGTACATAGAGGGGAGTGAGGGGTATGAAGGCTGGAAAGGCAGGAGGGGACCCCAAACCCAGAATTCTATATTCGGTTGCTGGAGGTGATGGGGACCGTCCTTTGTATTCCAGCAGGTGTAAACAGCTCCGCAGCCTAGCTCAGTCTCCCCATTCCTAACAGATGCGTGCGTTGCGCGGGTGGGTGGGGAGGTGACAGAAAGCGAGCCGGCTCCTGCAGGGAACCCCCCTCCCTCCCTCCTTCCCTCTTTCCCTCCTTCCCTCCTTCCCTACGGAATTCCAGAGCTCTGGGACACAAGCCCCACCCAGGGGGCGGGGCCAGATCTAGCCCCTCCCCCTCCTCCCCGCCGCGTCACTTTGCCCGTCATTCCGCTCGCGAGCTTATCCTGGAGGCGCGAGCTCAGGCTTGTGGGCGGGGCCGGCGGCGGGGGAAGTTTGTCCCTGGACGCACGCCGTCCATGGCCAGAGCGCCTGCGCTTCTTCGGTGGCGGCAGCCGGGGTCGGAGCCCAAGCGTGAGGAGGAGGAGGCGGCGGCGGCGGGAGGCGGCGGGAAGCGGGAGGCGGCCCAGGCCCGGGCCCGCGGGATGGCGTTCCGGCAGGCGCTGAAGCTGGCGGTCTGCGGGCTGGCGGGGGGCTCGGCCGCCGTGCTGTTCTCGGCCGTGGCCGTGGGGAAGCCGCGCGGGGCGGGCGGCTCGGACGCGGAGTCCCGGTGGGCCAGTCCGGAAGCCCCGACGTGGGCGGAGCGGGTGCGCCCGGGGCCCGCCAGCGGCGTGTGGGACAGCAACTGGGACAAGTAAGGACAGCTGGGCGAGTCTCTTCTCCCCGGGCCTCAACTTCCCCATCTGTAAAGGGGGGCAGGCGGACCAGATGGCCCCGAGATCGCTTGCTGGATCCGCGAACCGCCGTGAATTTCCAGCCGGGCGATCCGGGAGGGCTCCCTGGAGGAGGCGCCCCGGGAGGGATGGCAACAGGTGGCAGAAGGGCGCTCGGTGGAGGCCACGCGCGGAGGCGGGAGATGAAGGGCCCGCGGATATCCTTATCTGGGGTGGGGTGCGATCTGGCGTCCTGGTAGCCCTCTCCTGGGGTACCCGTGGGCCTATCCCGTTGTATGTTTGACGGACCCTTTAGCCAGTGTTTCATTAAGCACCTACGATAATGCGGAGCACCTCGATTTTAAGTAATGAGTTGCTTTGCTTCCTGGGGAAGGAAGAATTTGACCCCGATCTTCATTAAATTGGAAAAGGACGATCTGACAGTGACTCTTGTTAAATTGGGAAGGGACGGTCTACATTCACTTTTATTGAATTAGGAAAGAGCATCAAAAACAAGGTGTTTGCTGAGCTCAGAAGAAGGGAGAGTAGGGAAAGGTGTGCCCCAAAGGTCTAGGGACACGTGGGGAGGGAGTTGTTTTTTTCAATATCTGCCCCTAATCTTAATTCTACCATGAGCGGGTGATGGGCAGTGCATAGCTACACCTTCAGCTCAGGAACACATTTCTTACGCCTTTAGCCTGAAGCCAGAAAATGAGCATTTATTAGGCACCGTTTGCCGGGCCTTGTGGTAAGTGCTTTGGTTCAAATCAACAAGCATTTATTTTTAGCACCTACTGTGTACTGGGCACGCGTGCTAAGTGTAGGGAAGGCAAAGATGAAAAAAAAAAACACGTTCCTGTTCGCCTTGAGCTTATAATCTAGTATTACCCCTTGAAAAGGAGTGGCTTGAAGAACCTGGGAAGGCTTTGTGTGAGCTGGGCTTTAAAGGATGGGCATGATTTAAGTAGATTCAGAACCCCAGGGAGACATTCTGTTTGGAGCAGAGCTAGGAGGGCACCTGGTGTGTTGGCACCAGTAGAACTGAAGCAGGTTCCTAAACTAGTTTAACTAAAGCTAGGCATTTGTGTGCCTGACAAGTGGAAGTTGCCAGAGGTCAGGCGACCTGCTCCAGCTGCTTGGCAGACTTGGCTCTGGAACCCAAGCCTTGGAACTCTGTCCAGGATTCTTTACAGAAAGTTGGAAGATTTTAGATTTTTACTTGCCAGGTGTTCTTGGAGGGCTGGAATGCAAGACTGGTAAGAGGCCTCCGAATCCTGGAACAGCTTTTTATTTTAACACACTAGAGCGATTAGAGACTCTTTGGCATAGTGAATGTGGGACAGGGCGTTGTGGTCAGTGAGACCTGGGTTTTCGTTTTGCTTCTGACAGATTCCTTATTAGCCTCTTGATCTCTCTGTGCCCCAGGCAGCTCTCTGAGGCTGGGTTGTATGTATTCCTGATTTGTATGGGTGGAGGGAGTTTTGTGCATTGTTGATAAGCCCATTAAATCCCAGGTCTGAGAGTTTCCTGTGTTGATGAACTGATCAACTCCAAAGTCTGGACAAAACAAAATAGTCACTAGGAAATAGTTCAGATAAGGGAACAAACTTGATGGGATGTAACACTTTACACTCCTCAGTGCTTACAACAAGCAAGTCAGCAGACCCTTCCTTAGAGGGACAGTCCATGTTAATGTTGAGGGAAAACTCAGTAAATGTTTTTAATGGTCCTATATTTAGAGTTGGAAAGAACCTTAGCAGTCTTAGATTCTGGTAGGTGGCACAGGGAATAGACCTCTGGCCCTGGAGTCAGAAAGACCTAAAGTCATATCCAGCCTCGGTTTCCTTAGCTATAGAATGGGCATAATAGCACCTACCTTCCAAGGCTGTTGTGAGAATACTGTAAGGGAATATCTGCAGTATTTTGTTACTCCTAAGTCACTAGGCTAGTGAGCTGTAATTACCTAGTGCAAACCTACTGTGAAAAACAGATGAGGAAGTGGAGCGTCAAGTAAAGATAGGGCCCTGTGCTTGGGATTGTAAGAAAAGAGATCCTCAGCCAGAAGAGAGAGAATACACACAGAAAGGACCTTTAGAGGTTAGCTAGTCCAGTCCAATCCCCGCATTTTTCAGATGAGGAAATGGAAAACTTACCTTTCAAAGAGGGTAAGTGACTTGGCCAAGGTCACACAGGTAGTACAAGCAGCAGAACCAGGATTTGTAGGCTAGAAATCCGATGAACTGATTTCCGTTTTTAAGGACTAGAGTTTAAATCTTTTCTAAGTAGATTAAGGCTAATTTTTAAAGACCACTTTTGTCTTGTGCTTTGTTTCCTGCAGCTGTTTCTAATTCTAGTTTGTTTTAGAAAAACTAAATTCAGAGCTGCAACAGTACTTACTTTAGAATTTACTTTCACAAATCAAATTTTTTAAAAAAACTATCTTGACTTACTACACTTGGCTCTAAAATGGAATAAGATTTCTTCAGAAAGAAGTTATGGTATCCATTGTTTTTACAAATGGAAAAACTGTCAACTGACTAAAACCTAAATAAGTAAATTTACTTAAGTGTTATATGGGATCGGAGCACAGAGCTGCTTGACTCCAACTCTTATGTTTAACTACTTAAAATTTTCTTGTAAAATATGCTCAGAGGGGAATTATATGGAAAGTCACAATGTAAAATGTCTTGTTTTCGAAAATTAGGCGAGAACCACGGTCCCTTATCAACCTGAGGAAAAGAAGCACAGAAACTGGTGAAGAGGAGATAACATCTAAACTAGATAACTTCAAAGCCAGAGCCACCCGCCATATCTTCCTGATCAGGCATTCCCAGTACAATCTGGACGGCTCCTTGGATAAGGATCGAACACTGACTGAATTGGGTAAGCGGGCCTTCCACCCCCAGCCCTCTTGGGCCCCTGCTTGTTAGGAACCTTATTTTTCTGGAGGAAGGATTCCTGGCTGGTGGTGATGCTAATCCATGCATCTGTGACTTGGTGCCTTTGCCCTTCTCAAAGCACCCTCAAGACAGTCTGTTCTTTGGGAATGTCTCAGGTTTATTCTTAGCCTAGTGGACCTCCAGCCATCATTTTTAGCCCTTAAGAGTCTTTTAAGACTAACAGCTTATGTAGGAAATTTCAACTTGGATGAGAATTTCTATATACTGTACAATTCAGCAGGCATTTGTTAGTTAAGTACCTCCAGTGGGCTAAGCATTGAATTTACAAATGCAGATATGAATCAACCCTTGTAGTCAGGGTGACGCTCAATCCAGGGCACACAATGAGCACAGGGAGCTGGGGATTCCAAGGTGGAGGGAGGAAGGGCAGCCCCACAGCTCCGGCTGTTTTCCTTACCTTTCCAAGGACAAGCTCGGTGCCGTATTACTCAGATGGAGCCGAGTCTAGCTAGGCCTGTATAAAGGGAGACTCACTCTTCCCAAGAGCCTTTCCAGAGACTTGGCACGTGGGCCACAGCTCACATGGTGCAGATTTTCTGGTTTAATGAATGAAATGCTTAGCTGCCATGGTGCTTGTGACCAGTTGGGTGTCCCTGGCAGTAGATGACTATTCTAGCGGAGTGTAAGGGATAAACAGTACCAAATCAGATATTTTTCTCTGCACACGTTCAAAAAAGAAAACATCCCAAACTTGATTCCGTTTTGGCTGTGTGCTGCCTGCAGCAAATAGAACTCTACACTCTTTCAACTTTAAGGTCGTGAACAGGCTGAACTGACTGGTGGTCGATTAGCCAGCTTGGGTGTGAAATTTGATAAGATCGTGCACTCTTCCATGACTAGAGCAATAGAAACTACTGACATCATCTCCAAACACCTTCCAGGTAGGCGATGGCAGTCTGTCTTGACAGCACTCTCATGTTCCTGTTTGTATTGAGTGCCACGGGGAGGATAGTTGATGGACCTAACCTAGGCTGTCTTCCTGACTCCGTGTTGCTGTTCCAGAAGTTAATGTAAAATGTCCTATAAGTACAAGGGGACGGCATCCTGGCTCAGAATTCATATAACTAATCATGACTGACCTTTAGTGTTTTAAAATCAATAAAGTCTGCTGAGCCTCTCTGTTGTTTTATGAGGGAGGGGCTATTATCCCCATTTTATAGTTGAAGAAACAGGCTCTCAGCTGCAGTGACCTATCTAGCTAGGTACCAAACCTCAGAAGTACTGGGGGCAAAATTTGAATCTTGGGCTCTCTGATCTTTCAGCCCATTTCCAGTGTTTCCACTGCACTGCACAGCTTGTTTCATTTGTAAAATAAAGGACCGGACTAGGTGTGGTAGTATTGAAGAGGCCTGGGCAGCCTCTTTTTCATGTGTAGAAGACACCAGGGAAGGAAGCTAGAATAGCATGGATTTCTTAAGGGTCATCAAACCCTCCTGGAATGAACATGCCCAGACTGTCCGGGGGAGTGAAGACTTGGGACCCAGATACAGTAAAGTTTGTTTCACCTTTGACTAAAAATGTTGAGAGCATTTCTTGTTTTTTTGGTGTGTGTGTGAGGAAGGGTTGTGGTTGGCCCTTTGTGCTGTGTCCTTCTGTTACTAGTGTTGGCTAGACTAAGAGTGGTGCTGCTGTAACCTGGCTAGCTCGAGGCTGGTCGCTTGGGATGCTGTGGCCCTGAAGCCTAACTCAGCATAGGGATGTTTTCTGGGCTTCCTTTAGCTCGCTGGGTCATGTAGGCATCAGCCCCGTTCCCCAGCACTGTCACCATGATGTGGCACTGCCCCTTTCTCTGCAGGAGTCAACAGAATCAGCACTGACCTACTGCGGGAAGGTGCTCCCATCGAGCCTGACCCTCCTGTGTCTGACTGGAAGCCAGAAGCCCGGGTAAACAAAAGTCTTTTTTTCTAGGTGGCTTTTAATCTGGGGGTAGATGTTTGCTTGGAAAATGTCCCTTTGTGCAGCAGTGATGAGGCTTTGCCTCCAGAGGGTCTCTCCACTCCATTTTCACGTGTATCCGAATGTATTTCTTCCCAGCTCCCCGTCCCACTCCCTCGTCTTAGATCAGCCACCTCAAGACTGGGCTTTTTATTCCTTACCCCAAGGTGAGAGGGCGTGTTTGTGTCAGCTTGTTAACAGCCTGTGATTCCCCACTGTCTGCCCTTAGCAGTATTATGAGGATGGAGCCCGTATCGAGGCTGCATTTCGGAATTTCATCCATCGTGCAGATGCCAAGCAGGAGGAGGACAGCTATGAAATCTTTGTGTGTCATGCCAATGTCATCCGCTACATTGTCTGCAGGTAATGACAAGAGCTCCCCGTGTGGCTAGTGTTGCGCTTTCTTTATATTTTATTTCTACACATTAGGTAGCACTGTGGAGAAAACACTGGGTCTGAAGTCACAAAGCCCTGAGTTCAAATCTTGCTTTGGATACTTAGTAGATGTGTGACCCTGGGCCAGTCACTTCACCTCCTCTCTCTGTGCCTCAGTTTCTTTCTTTGTTAAAATGAGGATCATCATAATTGCTACATTGCAAAGTATCTAAGAGATCTAAGGATCAAATGAGTTTTTTTTTCTAAGTGCCTGGCATATAGCAGGTGCTACATAAATGCTCATGCCCCTCTCTCATGTACGTGTCCCAAGTCTTAAATTTATTAAATCTTAAAACTTATTGCACTAAGACTTTTGGGGTATCCTGTATGGGTCCATCGTGATCACCAATTCTTGTGTGTCCTTAGCTTGTCTTTAGTTTATGAATGGTTTCCACTGAAAACAGTGGTTCATGAGCAGCTGTGTAAGGGACATAGTATGGTACAATGAAAAGGCAGCTTTATTGGAGTGAAGCATTCAAATGCTGGCTTTGCCACTCTGCCTGTCTGACACTGGTAAATCATTAGACTTATCTTGGCCTTAAATGAGTGGCTGGAATGACTAATGATGTCCCTTCAAGCTCCCTGTCAAAATGAACTAGATTTTTAAATCTTACTTAAAAAAAATTTTTTTTTCAATTAATAGAGATCTATTCCTTCTCCCCTTCCTTCCTCCCAGTTGAAAAAGATAGAAAAACAAAATCCAAGTAACAAATTCCTGAATTGGACATGTCTAAAAATATCTGTCCAATGGGTAGCCTGAGTCTATCCATCACCTCTTGTCAGGAGGGGCCATCATGTTGAACATACTCAAGCTGTGGTTTTCATCCTTTATTTTAATTTTGGGTTGGCACTCACATCAGTATATTCTCAGAGCAGAATAGGACTCTGTCATTAGTGTCTAGACTGTTTGTAGTGCTACTCATTAGACTGAACACTTTCTTCCTGCAGTCAGCATCCTGAGGTTTTGGGAGAAAACACTGGCTTAAAAAAGGAGACCCCGTTAACATCTGTACCTTACTCAAAGACTAGAGAAAGTCCTGCCTCATTTTATTATCTTTGTTCCATATTTCACTATAAAAACAAATGAGGAACAGAATCCTACTCAAAGCCCCAAACACACATAGCAGTTTGTTCCATGCCCCCTTCAAACTGTTTGAAGCTTTTAGTTCTTCCGTAGTTGTTTCAGCATTTTTGCCATTTGGGTTCTACTGCAAGGGAAAGGATGCTGATTTGGGGGCTGGAGGGTTTGAGTTCAGATTTCCACTTGTCCATTTCCAAGGTCCCTGCCAGCTCTAAATCTGTGATCTATGATCTCACACCCCAAATCATTTCAAGTCTTTTCTTCTTTGTACTCATATTTTTATGGTGCCATAAAACACATAACATACCATAGTTTTTTCACATACTCTGAATAGTGTCCACATTTTTCCGTTAAAAAAGTGGTTGTCAATGTTATCGCCATATTGTTTTCCGAAAGGTTTATAAGTTGTTTTTTTTCCCCTATTACCGCAGTGTTTTAGAATAGCCTCAGTAGTGTTTTATTTACTTTTATTATTATATATATTTATTATACTTTTTTATTTACTTTTATTATTTTGGTAATTTGTGTCCATCTGGTGCATGCTGCTGCCTGGGAGAAGGAGTGTGTTAGGATGTTTGTTAGCCTGCTTCCAAGTGTCTGATGTGTGTAATACAGGCTAATGGTTCTACCATTTTCCTCTTCAAGAGCACTACAATTCCCTCCTGAGGGCTGGCTGCGGATGTCCCTTAATAATGGCAGCATAACCCATCTGGTGATCCGTCCAAGTGGAAGGGTGGCACTAAGGACCCTAGGGGACAGTGGATTCATGCCCCCTGACAAAATTACCCGCACTTGAACGCCCGCCTCTGCAGTCGTCAGCTGCGTGTCCATTCATCTGGACTTGTCTGTGTTTGTAACGTTTGGCTAGAATGCTGCGTTTTCAGAAGTATTTGGATTTTCCCTGTTACTCCTTTGCTGGCTGTACTTCTGTCCTGAAGAGAGAAAACTGCTTAAATGCTGCATTTCTGTCAAAGGTCTTCCTGGCCAGGGAGGATGAAGACACCACTAGGACATGTATACTTCACAGGGTTCAGAAGGTTCTGGATTTAGAGAAGTTGCCTCTCTTTGACCAAAGCTTCTTGTGCGACTTAAGGGAATAAAGTAGTAGGATAGGAGTTAAAAGATATATTTTCTGTACATTTGGATGTAGCATGACATTATGGATGTGCAAGTCACACATGAGAGTAAATTTTTATTTTAAGAAGAGATCACCAACAACTAAATTTCCTGCCATCTGATTCTGTCTGTCCCTTTGAAACTAAGGACTTCCTTCAGCCAGTAGTGGTTACAGCTGTTCACAGTGGGACAGTCTGGTGTGATCAGTCATGCAGTTGAAGTTCAGGCTAGTTCCAAGTGATTCCTAGATCCCTAGATAATTAAAACTTATTTTTCATTCTCTTACAGACAGGTATGTAATTAAAAAGCTTTCTCACCATTTTTCTAGGCCCTTACCACCTGGTTTTGAAAACCTCCTTCTTACCCCACTTACAACTTGTAATAGCTGCTGGAATAACAAGACAGTCCCACCACTATGGATGCTCAGGGGAGATTTGAGCTGTCCTAAGCCTGTGTGAGATGATATGCACCCCCTAGAATGAAACTCGTTTGAGACAAGTGAGAAGTCTGCTAGCACAGACACCTTTGTCCAGCTGAGAAAAAGCCACCAGTGTGTTTGACAACCAAGTTTGACAAGTGTTACCTGGAGGGTGCTACTGTGTTGCAAGGTGTTTTGTTTTCTTTGTGAAGCAGTCAGTTAAGTGACTTGCCCAGGGTCACACAGCTACTAAGTGTCTGAGGCCGCATTTGAACTCAGCTCCTCCTGATTCCAGGGCCAGTGCTCTATCCATTGTGCCACCTAACTGCCCAAGAAAAGGTCTGTTAATGGCCCAAACTAAAGTCTTTGCTTCACACTGTAACTGGGGTGCCTCTGGTTGATGCTAGTGTCTTTGCATACCAGTTAAGGATTCAGCCACCAGTAGCCCTTAAGTGCTTTGGGGTATTTAGACAAAAAGTGTCTGTTCCAAATATTCTCTGGCCACAAATGTCTTAATTCAGGTAAAACAAGATGGTAGGAAAATTACTGTGAAAAAGTGGTTATAAGATTTTACTGCAATCAATCAATGCAAACAATTGGGATAATTTATCGTTTTGTCTATTGACTTTTTTAACGTTTACACAATAAATTGTTTTATTTTATTGGTGTTACTCATTTGATTTTGTCCTCTTTTCCGGAGTCTATGAATTAGACAGTGGCCCCCACGAGCAGGTTAATCAGTACTTTGCTATCAGAGCCCCAGGAGAGAACTGCTTTATTTCCTGATCAGAAGATGCCTGCATCAGTAATACTGCATACACCAAAGAATCATATCACATCACATATCCAGAGCTGCAAAGGACCTTAGACTTATCTACTCCCTTCCCTTGTTTTGTATACTTATCCAAAGCGTTCATATACTTAGAGGTTTACAAAGCACTAACAAGTTTGTCCCATTTGACCTTCATACCCACCCTGGGAGGCACATACATTATCCCCTATTTACAGACAAAGGTCAAGTGGTTTGCCCGGGGATCTGAGTGAGTAGTGTCTGAAGTAAGGTTTGAGCCCAGGTCTTCCTGACTGTGTGTCCAGGGCTTTATCCACTGAGCCATATAGATGAATCCATTGAGGCCCACAGACTTAATTGGTAGAGCTGATTCAAACCCAAAGTCTTCTGACTCCAAATCCAGTGCTCCTCCCATGTACCATGCTGAACCAAATGCTTTTTACTCTTGTCTTGTAGCTCCTTTACCTGAGGGAAGAGGGAAGGCAGGGAGTCTAGGCTAATACCCTTGAAAATCTGAGCAGACTGTGTCCTCAAAGCAGAGACTAAGACAGGGGTGGGGGACCTTCAGCCTTGAGGCAACGTGTAGCTTCTAGGTCCTTGGGGATGGCATTTTGACTCCCATCATGTTACAATGAAACCACCTGCTTCACAGGGCTCTTGGAAGGGTCTTCAAGTTTTATGTGAGTGCAAATTGGAAGTTTTATATAACAAATCCTTTTATTAAGGGGATTTGTTCTGTGAAGTTTGGATTCAGTCAAAGGGCCACATGTGGCCCTGAGGCTGCAGGTTCCTCAGCCCAGGCCTAAGACAAAGAACTGGAAAAGATCCAGATACCACGTGGACATCTCTCAGAAGCAGTATTAGGATGAGACCAGGCAATAGACAGACACATAGAAGGCGTGTTGGTCTGTGCCAAGATGTATCCTCCAGGCACAGCTCCTGCAGCTGGGTTCAAAGCCAAGGAATCTTTGTAGCAGTATGCTCTCATCTTTTAAGTAAAAAACTTGGAATGTAGGTAAATTCCTAAAACAGCTACTTTATCTTATCTAGAAGGAATAGTTTAGGGGTTCTGACAGCCTCTTTGTGCCCACCCATTTGAAGTATAAGCACCTAGCGGCCTTTACTCGTTCTATAGGAGCGATGAGTAAATGTACAGTCAGAAGCTCTCATCATGTTAACAATGAAACCACCTGCTTCACAGGGCTGTTAGAAGGGAAGCACTTTGTAGGCCTTCAAGTTTTCCCTAAGTGCAAGCCATCATTACCAATTGGGTTAGACTTCGAGAGGAGAGCCAAGATGGGTTAAAGAAATAGACTGGTGTAATCACACAATTACTAGTCTAATTGCTACTCGAATCAGAGGTTCAGTGACTTGCCTGAGGGCACATGAAAAATAAATCAGATCCAGAATTTGAAGACCAGACTAGCAACAACAAATCCTGTTCCCTTTCCAAGACCTCAGCTTAACACCTGCAAGGCGTGACTGAAGACACTGACTTGATAGTACAGAGGACTGGAAGTGGGCACAACTATGGGCAGTTAAATTTAGTGTGTGAAATGAAAGCCCTTTTCCTTGAAATTTGGTTTCAAATGGATGATTTGAAAGAGTATTCTGTGTCCTAAGGAATTTCAACTACATTTCTGATCACCTTTGCAGGCCTCTCCACTTACTGATTCAGTCTCACTTGAAAAAATTATGGACCTTTATCTTTACATTCGGAGTGTGATATCCCATAAACATTTGCCTTTTGAGGAATTACAAAACCTGGTGTTAAAAGAAGACAAATCAAGTCCTTCTCAAAGCTGAGACCCATCTCCTCTAACCCTGAAGCACTTCAAGGCTCTCTCAATTCTACTTGGGATTAAGGTTCAGAATGGGGCTCTCTCCCAGGCCTCAAAGGTCTCCAAAATAGAGCTTTTGCAAGTTCATAGAATGTCAAATTGAAAGGGCCCTTAAAATTAATCCATTCGAGTCAAAACTTATGTTAACATAAAGGCCATCCGGCCTTCCCCTGATGGCATCAACAAGGCAATTCCTTCCATTTCTGGGCCTCTATCTTCTTAGTTCTACCCTTTAGAGCCAAGCAAAACTCCTCCTTCATGACAGCTTCTCAAATATTTGGAACCTGGCAATCATGTCCTCCCAGAGTTTTGCTCCAAAGTAAACATTATCAGTCCCTTCAACTGATCCTCATGGGGTATGGTCTCTAGTCCCATCACCATCTTGTTTGTCTTTCTCTGGACAGTTATCAGCTGTCAATGTCCTTCCACAGATGTGGTGCCTAGACTTAACAGTACTCCACGTATGGTCTGAGAAGGGCAGGGTATTGTGGGATTATCAACTCCCACATTCTCAACACCAGGCCTCCTGATCCATTCTATTATTACAGTGCTTTTTTTGTCAACCACTTGTCTACTCATTAGGCTTGCAGTCTAAAAAAATCCATCACCTGGTGTGGAACCTTCCCAGTGACCAACCTTTTTGAAGTGAATTGTTTCCCAAGAAGTTGTTGGTTCCAAAAATTAGACATGAGGGGAAAAAGGTTAGGCTGTTTTGTCCTTACAGATGACTTTCAAGGGTCATCCACAATGTTATCATTCATCCAGCCCACATCTCCCAACCACACTTTTACAACTGCTTACTTTAACTACTTCATCATTTTTCAGTGAAAAAAGCAATGGTGAAATTTCAGCATATCTTTCAATTAGTGAAAAAAGGTAAGCAAGTTACATTTCTGATGATAACATTAACTGCTCACAATGTTTTTTCTAATTAAGTTTAATGCATCCCAATATAGTTTTCATGGAGGACCTTTTCTTTTGTTAACTGGGGACTTAGAACTGCCCACCTCAGCTCCATGTACACATAAAAGTAACGTTCACAGCAAATGAATCACATATTTCATAACCTCACAAACACAAAAAATTTTACAATGAAACTCTTCCCTAACTCATTAACAAAATTTGTGGTAAGATGTTTCAGCCAATAACAGAATCATCCTTTTCTGGGCTAGAGTTAAGCATTTTACAAAATAAAATGACTAATAATGGTAAATTAATCTGTCAGCATTTTAATATCTTGAATGCTTTCCAAAACAGGGCTTAAAATGTTAAGAAAGGTACTCTGTCCGAAATTAAGAATATTATATGAACTAAAAATAATTTATTTTCTTTAAGGGGTACAAAGCATTATGATATAAAATGTAGTCTAACTTAGGACACTTGAATCAATGTGCCAAACTTGCTATGCAGCAACCTCTTTTCAACCTTTTTTTTTAAACATCAGTAGAGAACATAGTGTAAACATGTGAGAGGAGAACATACTAAATCTAGGGAAAATTGTCTAAAAAGCAGTGTGACCAAAAAAAAAAAAAGGATACTGTAATTTTTATTTCCATCTTTATGTATAAAAGAAAAGTTAATACAAACACCTTAATATACTGGCTAGTGTAACAGGGAGTCAGGGTGGAAAAATTTCCCTCTGCTGTGAATGCAGTAACAGTGTTTTGTTCCTATTTAGAATGAGGCGCTGTTCTTAAGAGGACACATGACTTCCACCTACATACTGCCCAAATTATCTTGTACTCAACGAGTTAAACAATAACTGTAATAATCTTTACAATTTCAAAATCTACAGCTTGATTCCAAAACTCAGATCCTTCTCCAGTCATCATGCAGAAGTTAACAGCCTCTCGTGTAAAGGAAGTAAATATCTTAAGTGCCCAAACTGAAGATGTCAGCTTACACTGTTTAAAAAAGGAAGGTCAAAAAATTACTTTTTGTTTGTTTTTTAACAAAAGGCACTATTAAGCTCACAAAAACATGAAGAGCAATTCTGGAGGTCATAGGCAGCCTCCATCATATTCAGAAGAGGGCCCACCTTGCATGTGGAGCCTTGGTCAGTGACAGAGCAGCAGTCCTCAGAGGCTCTTAAAGCTCCATTTGAGTCCTACAGCTTCTAAAACTGTAAGAGAGATTTCTACCAATACTTTTTCCACTCACCTGAAGCCTGAGCCAGGAGAAGCTGCCTGTGAGGGAGAAGGGCCCTCTCTTGGCCTCCTGTAACACGGCAGTGGCCTCCTTCCCGAGGCTAAGGCACAGGAGATGTTTGCCACTGCAACCTTCTGAGGCAGCATCCAAGCTAAGGAACTGGGCTGGCGATTTCTTTAGGCCCAAAGAAGGGGGTCACACTAACCTGGACCACGAAACCCCTGCTAGTAAGAAGGGCCGTGATGGTATTGCTAGTGTTCTTGGTGTGACCACTTCCGTTAGTTCTCTCACAGGTTAAAAAGTCCTGTTTTTATCTTCAAGTCAACTTTTTTAATGCTCCCAGTGAACCAAAATTATTAGCATCTCAGACACTGATGTTTACAAGAAAGAAAGAATTATATAAAAGGTTTCTGCTCAGCATCCTCAACATAATTTTCTTTAAGCCGGTGTGAAGTGATGTTCGTTAGCCAGAGAGGTTTTTCTCTCCATCATGTAATAAAAATTCAAAGCCAAAAGTTACCAAACTTTTCCATTTTATGAAGAAAATAAAGTAAAAACCTAACAAAAAGTGAATTGATGCAAGTTGAGGAATCAGAGGATGGCTAACTCTCCCTGACACTCAGAGTCACCTGCTTAGACCCTGGGCTGTTCTTCCTCGGGGTGATCACGCATCTCACCCAACACCTAAAACTGTCCGCAGGGTAAAATGGGTTACTGTATTGTCTACTGTAAAGATCCTCATTTTTAATACGAATTGCTAATCAAGACAGTCTGAATTTGTCACTGCTTTACCAGAAAGAATTATTTAAAATTTTTTCTCTGAGTTAACACTTCGCTAACTCTCACAAATCAACAGTAATCTAACTGGGATAATAAACAATATATATGTGCA